CCCAGCCCTAGTAGATGGTGGCACAAAATACAGTAGGAGCAGATGGGTAAAGAACAGGTAGATAAAGGCTGTTCTAAAGAAGAATATTTTGAGTCTGGATTTAACAGAGTTTAGACAAGGTGACTCTCTGATATCCTTGGGGATAGAGTTCCAGAGTTTAGGGTATAACAGAAGGGCCTGTCATTCACAGAGTGTAGATGGAATGGGAGACAGATAGGAGACCAGAAACAGAAGAGAGAAGTTTGCAAGGTGGGGAGTAGAGTGATATTAATTCAGACAGGTACTGAAGTGCCAAGCCAAGCAGAGACTTATAGGTGAGCAGGAGGATTTTTAAGTCGACACAAAACTTAACAGGAAGCCAGTGCAAGGACTCCAGGATAGGAGTCATGTGAGCAGTTGTACTAGACCTGGTCAGGATTCTGGATGCCGAATTATGGACATACTGGAGTTTGTTCAACGTGGATTTAGAAACCCCAGAGTGTAGAGTGTTACAATAGTCGATTTGGAAGAAGACAAAACTGACCAAAACGCTGACCAAGTGGAAATATGTAAATGCTGAAAAGTAAGGAGCCTAATATTTAGCCCTGAACTTTAATACGTGCTTAGAGTAGTGCTCAAAAGGAAGTAATATCTGCACAAAAAGTAGCTTAAAGTTTAAACTTGAGATGGCAAAGATATTATTTAGTAGCATGTAATTTAAGTTTTAAAAACGAATTTTCCAAACTTTAAATACATTCAAACACATTTAATCTCTTTTAACACGGATAAAGTGAAAAGGGACTGAAAATACAGCAGACTAGTATTTTACGTAACATATTTTTACACAAATTCATGTATAGCCATTTAACGGCGAACAAAAAAATTCAAATACTGTAAATAAAAATTTAAAGAATGTGGGAAACATAAATTCAACTCTTATACACCATGCAACAGAAACAGAGCTCCTCTTTGGGAACTAGTCGCTAGTTATCCTGCAGCATCTCCATCGAAAAGGAAAGGCAAGTCAAGAGAAATTAAGCTGTATCACTGGTTTTATTACACATTAAACTACATACATGCACGTTCTAGTACACTCACAATCAATGTCTGTTGTTTAAGCAGAGGGGAATAAGTGCGTATAAAGGGGTAAAAAGTATGTCTACTGTAATAATATCACAAGTACATTACATTTACACTAACACTGAACTGAAAGAAAGAGAGGGGTTGATTCAAACACACCGACTGGACACTCCAGTACACTAACACTGCACTGAGAGAGAGGGATTAATACACACACACTGACCGGACATTAGAGTACATTGGGATGAGTTAATATAGACACAGGCCCTGGAGGACTGTAATTCTTAAACCTATTAAAATTATTTTGTATACACAATCATTAGTATACATATAATAATATAAACCAATACATCGCAAAACTATATATATATCTACTTTCCTAATTACTGATTCAGTGAAACAATTGTTTTCAGCACCGTAACCGGACAAAACAGTTCAGTTTCCACTAAAGAATCCCGCTGCTACATCACACAAGTCTTTCCCACTTGACTCTGCATCTCTCCACTATATTCTCACCAGTGAGGAAGTTAAAGACACTGTTTTTAAACTCACACACACGTTGACTACATACAAGTCACCCCACTGACCTGAGAGCTGCAGTTTCGTGTCTATTTCTTCCTTTATTCCTGCAGGGACTTCACAGGGAAGCGTGTGTCCAACGTGATCTGTCTGTCGCTGATCTCCTTCTGCTCCCGACTCCTTCTCCCACAGCTGCAGTCTCCACTTCAGGCTCTCGTTTTCCTTCTTCAGCTGCGCCATTTCACTCCCGAAACTCTCTTCCACACACTGTGTGATTTTAAACACAGACCGTCTCACCAGAGTCTGGGAGACGATGCGGAGTTTGTTTTCAATCTCATCCTCAGAGTCAGACATCCTGTTTCGGAACACATATGAAACTTCATGCACGATCGATTTGAGCAAATCCTCCATGAAAGAGTGAAGCTTAGTTTCCAGATTGAACAGTACAATTGCCATATTTAACCAAAGTTGATCACAAATACAGAGAGATTGCTGTGCTGATACTGATATGACAAACACTATGACTCCTACGCACCTACGGTCTATATTATTGCAAGGGTTTGTATTCACACCTGAAGCAGGAACAGGATTTGAGCGATCACTCCTCTGACATCCTACTCACATGACTCACTTCCTTAGTGATTGTTGCTATGCACTTCACGTGAAGGACTTTCAGTATGTTGTATCTTGTTGAATTTACAATGAAGTAAAATAATAAAAATAAATGTAGCCTTGTTTACAAATATATGTATATAAAATATACACATCAATATATATACACATACAAATATATATGTTGTATTTTCATATATTTCCAGATCCTTCGCCTGTATTGAAATAAATAACAGTACTTAAACGTGTATTGAAATAAAGGCATTAAACTTTTAATGTAATGGATCCATATCTGAGCAATGTCTGCTAATAGACGGTAATGTGGACAATTCCTGTTGCCAATTGGTTTGATATCTCCAAGACATCCAAGAAATCAGGCATTGAAAATATTTTCTTTAAACAGAACTTGTAAAATGGAATGTAGGTCAAAAACCTTCTGATAATCTAAGAACACCATGCTACATGTTCTGTGCATCCATTAGTTTATGGGCTTTTATGGGATCTAATTAGTTAGACAAATTATATTTCTGCTTACAATAGATAGTTTTATATCTCTATTCATAATAAAGATTGGTTTTATTTTAATTGATGATTTCAATAATTTATAGTAATCCTTTGTTTCATTTTCAGAAAATGTTGATAGAATAAGAAAAATAAAGTCCCTAAAAGAGTGTGATTTGAATTAAGTCTTTTCGGTCCACATTTAACATTTTACAGCTGACAAACCAGCAGCATTCTGACAGAAAGAGCAGTTGTAAAAATCACACTGCACAACTTTGGAACATCACGTCCAAGTTTAGTGACAGCAACATTAAAGATTTTAAGCTAAGACGTTTCAGATCACTTTTTTATTAAAGGTTCAAGCAAAGTTGAATAACTTTGCAAGGAACTTTTCAAAATCTCAATCAAATCCAGTACGATCCCAATGGATTAATCTGAACTTTCTTCATCCCGACCAGTTGGGAAACAACCTTATGGTAAAAAAGCACACATAACCACAAAGATTATTAAATGCTTACATCATATTGTTATTAGACTAGGACACCAATGGATTAATCTGGACTTTCTCCCTGCGATCCCGACAAGTTAGGAAACAATCTTATGGTTCTATGGTAAGAAAAATAACACGAGACCACACAGATTCTTTAATGCTTACATCATAATGTTATTAGACTAGGACACCAATGTGAATATGTGTTTGGGTTTTGATTCGCCGATTCTTGTTGAAGAATTGGTGATTTATGATTACAGAATCAGTAGCGTTGGAAAGCAGGAACTCTGTTTCTTAGCGATCTTGAAGGCATGTCTATGTAGAGCACAGTGTGAAAATCTGTACTAAAAAACACCAAGTGCTTAAGATGACATCTTCTTTTACCTTTGCAACTTTTAATCTCAGGTGTACTTTTAGAAGGCATAGAAAGAACAGTTGTGTCGATATTTGCATCATACAGCAGAATGGTGCAGCACAAGCATGCTGGGTCCATATCCTACAGGTCAATGGATTGAAACCATCCTCTGAGTTTTATGGAAGACTTAAGCACACCATCGGGCCAATGTAGTATAAGAAAAACAAAGAAAGCCAAAATCTCTTTGTTTAAGTCCCGTTCTAAATTTCTTGCTTTTGTGAGCAAACTTACCCAGATCTGCAATATTTTAAAATATCTGCCATTGTTTAATTGGAAATAACTAAATTATTGGTGATATCCAGTTATATACTTGAACGAAATAGAAAAATAACAATTATGACCTACATATTAACACACTGACCAGAATAATTGAAAAGCTTTGATTCAGAGCCCCTGCAATTTGTGTTAATTAGAAAAACAACAGTGCTGAAACCTGAGCACAAGTTCAGCTGCTCTCCAGGTTTGTTCCGCACTGTTTCTCGTTGCAATTGAGCTCAGAGCTGGAGATGATTTCTAGATAGAACCGTGTTAACTAGTCCGCAGCTGTGTGCTCCTTTCGAAAGTTTGTTGCAATTGACCCAATGTGTGGTTCTATAGCTGTCAGGTGCAGTTCACTTACATAAAGGACTGTCAGGAACTGTTATGAGTCGACACACTGGAGATTATAATGCTAGAAGCAAGACAATCACATGTCAGCAGACATTCCTCAATTCCAAATACGTTTTCGCCTGCTCTCATCTTTTTAAAGACGGTCATAAACGCTCAAGAAGTAATTCATTCGAATTTGAAGTCTGTTTCTGTTGTCTTGATGAAGAGCAGCCTTATGTAGGAGACTCCCTCTCTGAAGAAGTTTGCCGTCACCCTGCAAGGGAGAAGAGCCATCAATCACCGAGACAGCCACTGAGACAATTAACATTAAACACATGAAATGTGAGATGTTGTGATTTTTCCCCGCTTAAGGCTTCGATCGTTTCCACTCTAACGAGAAAAACCTTTTTATTAAAAGTGAGATTTGAACAATCGTCTCCAGGGGAAAATGCGACCTGAACACCAGCTATCTTTCCTATGGTACTTATAATGAATTATATATTTTATTTCTTTCTACTCGTTGATAAGAAAAAAAAAGTGAAATCATGTAATTAGGGAACTGTCTTTTTTTTTCATGGGGAAAACTAGCACGAGCAAATGTAAAGTTTAGAGCAGCGCTCAACAAAAACGATCAGTAACCGAAAGCGCTTCTTATGCGGATCAATATATTCCGATACCGGTGGTTCCGCAGAAGAAATAAGAAAAGCCGATCTCAAAGCACTGTGCTGCCATTACGGCTACTCTGGCTGCAGCTGCTTTAAGATATACTTAGCGGGCACAGAAAGTTGTAGGAGGTCAGACTGGTTTGCGCTATCTAAATAACAGCATACGAATTTAAGGTTATTTAAATAACCGGGGTAAAGTTAGCTAGGTAAATTTAGGTAAATTAGAAAAAGAGATTTACTAGGTAAAGTTAGGTAAATCAGAAAAAGAGATTCAGGACAAAAAGCTGTGTCAGTGTTCTGTGTAAAAAGTCAGTTTGAACATCATGGGAGCTGTTTTTAATAAGAGCTATTGACTCGTGAAGAGCACCCCCTGTCCCCATGTACCGCCTGTCTAATGGTGCCATATTGAAAAACTTTCAAAATAAAGAAAGGGGCCACAACCACAGCAAGGTTGTGTAAGGTTCTGGGGGCTGTCTGGTGTGTAAAACACTTGGTTTCAGCAGTGTGGGTGCTGTATTTGAAATGCTATTGAGCCATGAAGACGACCCACCTGTCCCAGTGTATTACCTGTAGTGTAATCTTCAGAAAATCATAAAAATTTAAAGAAAGGGGCCACAACCCAAAACAAAGCTGGGAAAAGTCAGAGGACCTGCTTAGTGTGCAAAACACTTACCTGCAGCATTGTGGGTGCTGTGGTTTAAATGCTATTGGTTTATGAACAGAATACCCCTATCCCAGTGCATTGTGCCACATTAAATAAAAGCATAAGAAAAAGAGATTCAGGACAAAAAGCTGTGTCAGTGTTCTGTGTAAAAAGTTGGTTTGAACATCATGGGAGCTGTTTTTAATAAGATGCTGAGAAAAGTATATTTTAATCTTCCTGCTGTCAGTAGTATTGTGAATAGTTGACCCTTACCTGAATGAAAACAGGATGTAAAGGAAGGGTTTCAGGAATCAAACAAAGCTTTATTCCCATGCTTATAGTCTGGGTAATTGGAGACTGCGCTGTTCTGCTTCCTATGGTCATATACGGGTTTTTCGCACGAAGCCGTATTGAA